TGATCCAGGTATAACACCGACGGTTTCATTAATGAATAGACGTGGTCATAGAAGTTGGGATATTCACTGTACGCATTTGATTGAATATTTGCAAATCATATAGAACGTAACACGACTTACAAATTATGGGCGACAATCAACTTGAAAATGGCTCCTAATGATAGAATTGCGAACATATCGCCTTTATCAAACGCCTGGAAAAAATTGTCAGACGTTTTTCCACTCTCTCTCAGGAAATTGAAACTTTCACCTTGAAAAAGAAATCAGCCGTCTTGTGCGGCTCATCTAATTTATCCAGGATATTCTCAGTAACATAGGGTATCAACACGGAGAGTACTTTAGGAGGTATCTGAAGATTTAACTGGAAGTTCTATACATTAAGAACTCATAAATAACTAACTGCGCATCTCAGAAATGCAATCCAGTTTTCTTGAAACATTCGTACTAGCTTCTTTTTCTTGTGTGCTTGCAGCGGATGATCTATTATGAATATACAGATCATATTAAATATGAAAAAATTGATCATATCGCGACGGTAGGAGGTCAGAAACTCACGAGCAACATTGAAAACTCTTGGAGTTATAGAGACTCGAGGATCAGGTACGAATTTAATGAAATGGAACACATTGAACCATGTTGAGACGACATCTTGACTGAAGCTCTAGAAAGGATGGATTATAAGGAAGCAATGTTACTAAATTAATTCAAATCTGACACTGAATTTAGAAAGAAAAAAATTTAAGATGTTGATGTCTTCATAACTACAACAATATGTATAAATTTTCTCATGTGCAAGGGCGTCTCTGTCGGCGACATTAGTAGCTCTCCTGTACCTGATGCCTATTGACATGACCCACCTTTCAAAAGCTCAAAAAGGATGTAATACATAGAATTTTGAAAAGGTTGATGGAGTTTAAAGTGAATGAGGTGTAAGATGGTAGCCAATCGATAAGTTCCATAACTATTTGATTGATTCCAGTGGGTGCAATGATAAGTCTTACTCAGTTTAATGATTATGTATCTAATTGTCATGATTGAAGTCCACAAGGAAACATACCAACACTCGGTCCGGAAAAATCCTGCTTATTTCAAAGAGAAGATCACATCGTGAAAAAACGTCCTTAGTGAGATTTTTCATCACTTTTACCGTGATCTTCGTGCCACAATCGAGAAACATGAGAAAACCCTTAAGTTAATAAGGACAGTAAATGCTTGAAATACCATAACTTCGCATACGAACCTGCACCAAATCGCAGAAAGATTTAGTGGGGACGACACGACCAGTACGTTTGCACCTTTCATAAGGTTTCATCTTCCGAATTTGTTCGCATAAATCCTACAACAGCTCTGGTTCTCAAATTGATTGGACGTTTGAAACAATGAGGTTCACTTCGGCGAATTCAGCTTTCATCAGCATAAGCTTCCAATCACGTGCAGAGAGAGAAGCTGGCTCCTCTCTGTCCAGTTCATATTCAGCGTCACCGGCATCATCACCATCAAAATGTTCTGTTTCAAAACCATCGTCAGAGCCACTCATCGATTCCTGTAATGCGCTTTTTAAAAAAAACATGTTGTCACTATTTATGTCCTCAAATAAGATACAAAACCTTCTTCATTGCTAGGCTTTACAAATGCTGATTGATAGGGTTTTTTGCTAGCAAAAAGTTCGAAAATAGTGTGATCAATCTCAGAAGAGCGTTCATTTGAATGGTTATTAGCAAAAACATTATGTAAATAATCTTAATTATAAGATTAATGGCGCAATCTCATATTTGTGATGCAGTCAACAAAAAATACTCAGTCTCCTTTCGCTTTATCGGGACGAAATCTTACGCAGTGAGAAAACTAACGCCTAAAAGAAAAAAGGTAATTCAAATCGGGAAAACCAGACATACCATAAAATTTAAATTCATGCAGTCGACACCTCACGAAGCTATATAATGACTATGCTGAACTTCAGGATGATATTTAATATAAAATTTGTGTTTTCTTTCCTAATCACATTCCTCACAGTGTACTCTTATCAGGAAAAACCACATCCATGATAAATGAGTAGTTGGAGTAAAAAGAAAAATGAGAAGAAACAAATCAATCATAAGATAAGGGATTTTTCGGCATTATTTGTGTCACACTTAATCCTGAAAATGGTGCATATTATTGGGTGCTTTGGAAACAGTCCTTCAGACAGCAGTATTAATTAAGAATATGTTGGCAAGTTGTACGCATGATTTCCTTCATAATCCCTATAAAAAAAAAGATATTCCTCTATGCGTAAATTTGCCCCTCCTAGCAAAAGCTCACTGATCATTTTAATCCTAGCGCAACTGAATTACTCCGCATTTGCAATCTACGGGGCATTATAAGTCATACCTGTTCCATGCCATCAACCTCATTCCTCGTTTCCTTCCTATCAGTGATTTCTTCTTCATGATGCCCATTGCTTCCCGAAGATGGCTCACGACCATTTTCCATCTTCTGGTTATCCATAAAACGCTCTGCAACCAGACACATTCCAAGCCAAAACAACGAAATGACCCGCTAGGGATCCACAAAATAGAGCAAAAATGGCTCGTATCTAAAGCTACAATCGGCTGCGAGAAGCGCGCCTCATGGACCACTGTGAATTCGCATTCGCGCGCGCGGATTGTTGGTGGGGCACGCGATTTGAAGAGCATTGCATCACTTCGTCGATCTAGGGACATGGAATGAGTTGCTGGAACAAACACAAGCTTGCATTTTCAAGGGTGCAGAGTGCATTACCTCATCGCCATATCCACGGATGAGGATCATCCTCGCAGGAGGTACAACCGTTTATCAGCATGAGCCTGATTAATATTTTACGGAAAGGGTACTACAAAGTATTTTATGGTGTGGCTAGCACCTTATACATATCTTCAACTATATGTCATCTGTAATTGTGTTGCTTCTCCGTTTAAATTAACTTTCAAGTTTCCATCAAATTTGGACAAATTCATACTATCTATCTTTGTGGTTTCTTTTTCTGATTACGTTTAGTACTCCAATAATATTTTAAAATAATATAATATATATTATATTTTATAATAATATTTTCTTAGTATTTGAAGCATAGGATGAAGCAAAAAATGTATCACCAACCTTACAAATCAACTTATGAATGAACTTAAGAACTGTCAAAAAGAACAGCTCAAGAAAATGCTAGCTAAAATGTTGCCCGATTCACTCAGCAAGCATACAAGATACGTGTTTTCAAAGCATGTTGTGTCTCCTATGTGATTAAAATTATTAAATATATATATTTTAAGAGGGCACTCCTTCACCTTCATAAGTGAGAAGATCCCTGTTTTTCAAGGAATCGAAAACTTAAAAATTATACAGAAATGTAAAACAACTTTGCAAGCTTACTATTCTTATCTCTATCCAAAACCGCCGAGAAAAGCGGCCAAGTTACGGCAAAGACATCATAACCAAATGGCTTAAAAAGGGCTACTAGAGTTTCTTCAAAAATAAACTATGCGTTTCGAAAGGTTTATGCCATCACTGCATAGAAACAGAAGGTATAAACTTATTTGTTCAATAAACTCTGCATATTCCATATTTTCAAATTAGAAAATGAAACAAAGCTCTCTGTACTGTGTGGTGGTTCACTAAATAAGAAACTTTATGTGACCGTCCAGTATGGACACATACAACTGAATGTCCGTCCTCGG